TCTCCCCCCCCCGTAATCATCTTCTCCTCACCTCCCCTGCCCTGTAGCATGGCCGAGCTCCTCTCAGTGTGCACTTCCTGTCAGTCTGGCCGGGTCGCTACAGCGCAGGGGAGGTGAGGCAGTGCGGCAGCCGTCTGAGCGCTCTCTATAGAGCGCTCAGGCAGCTGCAGCATTTAAAGGGCCGGCAGGGGGGCAGCAAGCTGTTACTTACCTTTCCAGCAGCTCCCTTCAGCTCCCTGTGTAAATCTCGCGGTCTGCGTGCCGCACGGAGCGTTGCCACTGTAACCCGTGGCAACGCTCTGACGGCCACGGGACTTGTGAGATTTACACTGGGAGGCTGAAGGAAGCTGCTGGAAAGGTAAGTAACAGCTTGCTGCCACCCTCCCCCTCCCCCCCTCCCGACCGCCAGGCTTGTAATGAGCTCGGCGGTCCTGGTCTATATTATGGCAATGTAAGTTGACATAATACAGACCCTGACTCAAGTATAAGCCGAGGGGGGCTTTTTCAGCACAAAGCTTATACTCGAGTATATACGGTATGCACTGCAAAACTAAAGAATGTCAGAAGGAAAAGGAATTACATCATGACATCACTCTGCCTTTATCAGGGGCTGATCCAAAACTCAATCTTGGGAGGGGCACATGGTTATTTATAGAAACAATCCAGGCACAATAGCCACTACAGCTCACTGTAGTGTTTATGGTGCCAGGAGTGTTGTGGCACCCTCCCAGATTAAGTAGTCAAACGATTTAAGAACAGTTTTAAAACTTACCTGGGGTCTGTCAGGGTAGTGGATAGCGCCTGTAGTAGGGGACAGGGGCAGAAGTGTGTGTGGTGAAATGTGCGAGAGGTGAAGTGTGTGTGCTTGACGGGTACAGTGTGTATGTGTGTAAGAGAGGTTTAGTGTGTGAGATGGATACAGTGTATCTATGAGTGGTGTAGTGTGTGAGAGGTGCAGTGTGTGTGGGGGGGTGCAGTGTGTGTGTGTGTGGGAGGGTGCAGTGTGTGTGTGGGAGGGTGCAGTGTGTGTGTAGGGGGTGTGTGTGTGTTTGTGTGAGGGGTGCAGTGAGTGTATGGGATTGCAGTGTGTGTGAGGGATGCAGTGAGAGTATGAGAGTCAGTGTATGGGGTGCAGTGAGTGTATAATTGTGTGTGTGAGGGGGGCAGTGAGTGTATGGGGTGCAGTGTGTGTGTGAGAGAAGCAGTGAGTGTGTTGGGGTGAAGTGTGTGTGGGGGTGCTGT